TGCAAATAGAGATGGTTTTACTTCCTTCCGTCTTTCTTTTGATGCTTCCTGTATTATTCAATATTCTGCCCATAGAATTTTTCAATATCACAATTTGAGGCTTGATTTTTTTCTTCAGTTTTTTCAGGTTGAGAAATGCCAAGAGTGTTCTTCCTTTTTGGGTTTTTTGAATCCAGGTCTTTGCATATTTCATTATAATACTTTGCTTTGTCTTCTCCAGCTGCCCTTTGAAATCTTTTGTTCAGCTCTTTTACTTCATCATTTCTTCCATTCACTTTAGCTATTCTCCATTCAGCAGGAGCTCTGGTAGCATAGTGGCTAAGACATTTGACTGCTAACCAGATGGCTGGCGGTTCAAACCCACCAACCACTCCTCAGAAGTAAGATGGGGCAATCTACTTCTGTAGTGATACTGCCTTGGAAACCCAAGGAGGGGTCGCTATGAGTCGGGTCCGACTTGACGGCACATAACAACAACAACAATTCTCCATTCAAGAGCAAGTTTCAGAGTTTCTCCTGACATTCATTTTGGTCTTCTCTTCCTTTCTTAACTCTGTAATGACCAACTTGCCATTTATTAAGCATCAAAACATTGTGCTAGATCCTAAAAGAACAAATAGGATCCCTATTCTACTCTCAGGTAGCTCATGATCAGCTTGGCAGTCAGAAATATTGAGAATTAACTACAATGTAATCCTATATGTCATTGATTCTTAGAGGTCATTATTTTATTTTATATATCTCTAAAAAAGTAAAAACACTGTCAACTAAATTGTAATATACTACTTTCTAATCTCACAGAATTTTCAATTTATTGAATAAACTCTTTTAGGGTCATTTATCAAAAATCAGGCTTGTGCATACATCAAAAGGAAAATTCTAATACAATAAATAGGTTGAAGAGTTCTTAAAACACTTTCACATTCAGATCTAACTCTTCTGCATCACTTTCCAGTATGACATTTGTGTATCCAATAACATCCACTAGGCCATCCACAGTGTTGATTATGCAGCATTTCTTAAAAGAGTGCTTCACTATTGCCTACACTACAGGATCATCTTCCAAGCAACTGTCATCCAAGCACATGACACTCATCCTAGAAGTGTTGATGCTGGTGCTTTCTTGATCTTCTTGAAAGTGCCAAGGGAAAATACTCACGTAGAAGCAAGGACTTATATTCCTTCATTAAAGGTCTTTAAAGGTCTTGTGGTAGTTAAGGTTGTTGTCAACGTGATTGGGTCTGGCTGAGTGGCTGCGCAGCTGGATGTAGTTATTCCTCACCATGAGACTGGTAATCATTTCCATGGTGGAATCTACTATGAGCAGCTGAGTAGCTGCCTTAGGCATGTGGTCTGCTTCCTTAATATAAGGAGAAGCTTTGGGAATGGTCCACAGCTTTTTGGCACGCTTGAACCCTGCATGTAGCTAAGTCATTGTTCAACACCTTGCCATGCCCTGCTGATCTTGGGACTTTTAATGGACTTGAATTAGTGACCTGCCATGTTGTTTGGTGACATCAGGACTGTGCCTTTGCACTTGTCAACCTTGGATTTGTCAGCCTCAGCAACCAGCTGCTGCCTGAGTGAAGAAAACCTTTAGCTTCAGTGGGCTGGGAGCAAGATGCAGAGCTGAAGCCCAAGGTTGAGGGGTTTCACCCAGCCCCTAGAGCCTGGCATTTTGAACTCAGACTTCTAGCCTCCAAAATTGTAAGAGAATAAATTCCTGTTTGTTCAAGCCATCCCATTTGTGGTATATTCCTGTCAGAGAGGCACTAGGTAACTAAAACAGGTCTCTTGCATAAAACATTGAGGTATGTAGTTGTTTAGATAGGCTGGTAGGAATAACAACCAAATTTTCACATAAAAATGTGGGAAAAATGTGAATTTTAGAATCAAGGGAATATGGCATATTAAGGTCTATGCTTTGGGAATAAACAGTACTATTCAAGGGTATGCTGGAGCCAGTTTATACCTGCTTGCTAGAGCTGACGTTTACTTTTTCAGGAATTTTGTGAGCCAGTTATTAAACATGTTATTGTTGTTGTTATGTGCCACCGAGTCGTACCTGACTCATAGCAACCCCTCCTTGGGTTTCCGAGGTGGTATCGCTACAGAAGTAGAATGCCCAACCTTCCTTCCAAGGAGTGGCTGGTGGGTTTGAACCTCCAGCCTTCTGGTTAGCAGTGCCTTAGGCACTATGCTACCAGAGCTCCTTTTTAAACATAGCTATTATTAAAAATTAAATTATATAAACACAGTTAAATTATATCAAAAACAAAGATAAAAAAAATCATATTTTCCTAATCATTTCACTACATTTTACTATTATCTATGCTCTTGACATTATCTACATCTATTGTATCTATAAGGGGGAAATACCATGTAATAGTTTTGGCCCATTGCACATCTCTTCCAACCTCACTTGGTGACTTCACTTGAGCAGCTTAACACTGCAGAAGTTGACAATGACCTATAATTCAGAATTTTTGGGGAGTGGGGAGAGGCCAGCCCCCACACCATACCTGTTACCTGTTGACTATAAGATACATAGGATATAACAAATTTTGCTGAGGATATTTGGGGGAAGGAGGTGCTGGGAAGACTTCTTAGCAGATGTGGCACTTGAACTGGCCAGGAAACATGAGAAAGTTTTCACCAAATAGAGAAGATGGGAGTGCATTTCTGGCAGGGCAAAGAGTATGCCTAAAACTAAAAAGCCACATGTCTGAGGCAAAGAAAACAGCTACAGGGGTTTGGCAAGGGGCAAGGAGTCCTTGGGTGGGCAAAACTTAAGCACTCAGCTACTAACCAAAGTGTTGACTGTTTAAATCCACCCAGAGGTGCCTCAGAAGAAAGGCCTGGTGATCCACTTCTAAAAACTTAGCCAAAGAAAATCCTGTGGAGCACAGTTCTACTTTGACATACATGAGTCATGATCAACTACTCAACAGCAGTTTCTTGGCAAGTCACAGGTTGAGGGCTTTGAAGCTCTGTTCAAGACTCTGATTTCATCCTGCCATCAGGTGGAGTCATAGAAGATGATTGGGCAAAGAAAGCATACAATTAGACTGACTCCTCATAAGTTCCCTGGGTCACAATGAAAAGGATGGGTTAGATAAGGGGTCAGCAAACCACATCTTGCAGGACAAATCTTGTCCACCATCTGTTTTTGTTAATTAAGTTTTATTGGAACACAACCATCACCATACAAGTATTATTTATGAGTGCTTTAAGGAGCTCTGGTGATATAATGCCTAAGGCATTTGACTGCTAACCAGAAGATTGGCATTTCAAACACACCAGCCACTCCACAGAAGGAAGGAAGGCAATCTACTTCTGTGAATATTTACCACCCTGGAAACCTGGAAGTCACTATGAGTTATAATCGACTCAATGGCAGTGGGTTTGGTTTTTTTTTTGGTTTTGCACTGCAAGAACAGACTGGTGTAGCTGCAATAGAGACTATTTGGCCTGCAAAGGCTAACATATTTACTGTTGAGCTCTTTGTAGGAAAAGTTTGTTGAACTCTGAATTAGAATATTTTGCATTATTATTGGTCAGGTTATTCATTTATTTATTTTCCCATTCCTAGCCTGAAATATTATGTCTCTGTAGCAATAAATGCAGTATTTAAAAAAAAAAAAAATCCATTTTTATGTGCTTTGTGTTCCTAAGCCAATTCAAAAGGGTTCGCTAGCTATTATCCCAAAAAAGTACCTTGCCATTCAGTAAAATTCTCCCTTTGTTAGTAGGAGAGCATTAAAATTGATTGCTTTATACTCTATCTTAAAAAAAAAAAAAAGAAAAAAATTCTCTTGCTATTGAAGGTTTATATTTGTGCCATCACTCCTCCTTCCTCCCCACCTTAAAGTATTTGAAAGTACTTTTGCTCTAACCCAGTTTTATGTCTGCCTCATTCTTTCAGTGCAGTGGATAATTACCTGTAGTAAAAAATAATGTTCATTTGTTCAAAAGGAAAAACTTTCTATAAAACAATGAAAAGGCCCTAAAGGTGGAGAAGGCAGGCTATAACAGGATCTCATTTGTATCACTCTAAAAGATATAATTTCATTATCCAAGATTAACGTAGGTGTATTACAATAAGAGATGAAAGTAATTGCTATTTTCTTGCTATCTCATTCTGCATTAATCACAATTGCAATGCACTTTTCATTCATAGGGTTTGCAATAAAATCCTATTTTTTTTCTGGTTTTCATTTCCAAAGTGACAGGGCCTTTATCCAAAAGAATATTTCTAAAGAACCATAAGCCAAGGTCAATTGCATTGTGACACAACTTCCTTTGGATAAAGTGGGGGCAGGTGGGTTTTCAGTGTTAGCATTAGGATTACTGAGTTTTCATTTACATCTGCTAATTGTTTCCAAAGCTCATTTCTTTGGGTAAGATATTGAGTGTAATTCATTTTCTTAAATATGCTTCATTCTAAGTCAGGAGCACAGTAGGGTGAGGCTTTTATTCAAGCTAAATTATTATAGAATGTTTTTTGAAGTGGCATGAATAAGAAGAAATAAAATAGTTCACAGATTAATGAAATGAATATATATGTTCAGCTTTCCCTCCCAATAACTCTTTTTAGTAACATGTAATGCTGGTTAATGAGATATATTACCAAATAATTATAGAATTAATAATCATTATATCATCTTAAAATAAGAATTTATAGTTTACAAAGCATATCTACATATAGTTTCTCATCAAATCTTCATGATTCTGTGATGTCTTATTATTACATTATTTCCTAGATGAAATTCAAGGTAACCCAATAGTGACTTACCCAAAGTCAGTCAGCTCCAACACAGAAAATCTGGGCTTCAAACTCAGTTTTTCTGACTAACTCCATGCTTGTTGCACCACAACATTATTGTTAAATTAGATAATATAAGCAGTGATTTCATTGAATTTTTCATTAGAGGAAAATGCTTACATGTGCTTGAGAAATACTTTCCAAGATGACCCTTGTACTTATTTTTACCTTACAGTTGACAATAAAGACAAACTTGAAGAAACCTCTGGACTGAAAATTCTTCAAACTGGAATTGGGGCAGTAAGTAATACAAAGAGATTATGTCATCTAAAATATGATCGTCAGCACTTGACTTGTGTTTGTGTGAAAGTCTAGTGATCAAGTCTAGTGCCCAGCTGGACAATCTAGACATATAGGTTAATTCAATTGATGTTATACTGACATATGGGAAGATCAATTGATTGGTGAAAAGCAGTCCTCACATTGGTCAAAAGTTCTGATCAACTGCACCTGGCTAATTTGACATAGTTTAAGATTACCTTTGAAATCATAATTTGGTGTCTACCCCCCAAAAAAGATGTCATTGACAATAAAAACAGAAAAGGCTTCAGAAGAATATACTGCTTTCTTGAGATTTTGCATAATTTCTAAGGATGACCAAGCCAAGGCAATATAAAAGAATGAATGCCTCCATAATATAATATAAAAATCTATCAGACACTAGTCATGTCCAAACATTGTTATGTTGGTATGAAAAAGAGATACTTGACCAAACACTCCATTAGCAATTAAAGCTGATGATACTCTTCTCCTCAGAACCTTGGCTAACTGATGACTGCTTTTTCCATCTCGTGATAATTTAATGAATTGTACACAGAACAACAGACGTGATTCCTCTTATGAGTGGTATGTTGCCACTCGTAAGTCAGCGTGGACCGAAACCAATCTGTGCTATCGCATTTGAAATTTTAGATTTCACAGCACTCACTGCTAAAGATAATTAACTATTAAGGAGCAGCTTATTTATGAGTGTTCCCTGCTACACAGTGGAGATGTCCTTTGTGGAGCCACTTAAAGATTAGGCCGCTTTCTTTGGGGAAATCTCCTATTCACCAGGCATGAATCTTGGGCTCTTGAAATAAGAACTTGTTTAATTGGTTGCTCTTCCCAAACAAAGGCTCTTGTGCTTACAAAGTAGTACACGCTTAAGAACAGCTGTATAGAGAAAGTGCACTGTACCTTGAAAATATGCATTTTTCAGTTAAATGATGGGCATAGTGTGGGAGAGGAATAAAACAAATGACTGATAGAAACTTTTCAAAAAATGCTTGAAGGACCCTGACAGAGATTATTGTTCCTGGTGTTTTCTCAATGCCTTTCCAGCTCAGGCTAGATGAATGAAGCATTTGACAGGTGACAGCATCCTGGTCTTTTCCCCCTGTATCATGTGGTATCTTTAGCAGTCAATGAAGGGTGAGGAAGAAGCCAGGAGTCCGTGGGGCTCCAAAGAACTGTCTATATCCCATAGAAGAAACTGACCAATGATAGAAGGGGCCAGAATGGCTCAGAGGATTCAAGTGAACAATGAAGATTGATTCCACTGCCTTGTTCTTGGGTGTAGCAGAAGTTGTGAAATCCCTCTTGCCCTTCCTCTTCCTTCTTAGCCTCATCAATGTTTTAGTACAGAATCATCCCTACAAGAATAATGGTGTACTACTGTGTAAACCAGTGATAGGGGAACAAATCCAGATTGATTCAGGTTAGGGCCATTCATATATCCCTTTCATAGTTCTGTCTCTGTGAATTCTGTCCCTAACTATACAATGTTTAGGCCACATCAGAAGTTGGATGTGGTGAAATGAGAAGTGTCTCCAGTGAAAATGAAGTATGTTCTGCTTTACATAAGGGAAGGGGAGGAAGGACAGGTGGTGGCTGAATGTGTGGGATCCCAGATTGGCTTGGGTTATTTTGAGATATGCCTAGTATGGCACCTAGCATTCAAATGCTCTGTTTGTAATTGACCAGAAAAACACAAACTCACTGGCATTCAGTCTGACTCATAGCGACCCCCACTGGGTTTCAGAGGCTGTAAATCTTTACAGAAGTAGATCACCCCATCTTCCTTCCATGGAGTAGCTGGTGGGTTTGAACCTGACATTCTGGTTGGCAGCCATTCTGGTTGGCAGCCAAATGCCTTATCCACTATGCCACCAGACCTCCTTGTTTGTAATTGAAGAATACCAAAAAAACAAACTCACTGCTGTCAAATTGATTCTAACTCATGACAGCAGCATGCATTATAGAGTAGAACTGCTCCATAGGGCTTTCTTGGCTGTAATCTTTGTGGAAGCAAATTATCAGGCCTTCTTCTACAACACCACTGGGTGGGTTTGAACTGCCAACCTTTATGTTAGTGTCAAGTGCAAACCATTTGTGCCACCCAGGGACTATAAATTGAAACATAACTCCTCCCATTTCGAAGCACTATTTCAGAAAAGAGAGAGACCAGATGGTGATGGGATCAATCCAGCTGACTGGCAAGTTCTAGTCAAGGATGGTTTTCACATGTACCTCACTGAACTTTGTTTGTTAAGACAATCAAATACAATTATCAAGAAAATGAGAGCCTGTGGTGGAACCCCTGAGACTGTGGCCCCTAGCTACCCTTCAGGTCTAGCATTGAACCCACTCCTGTGGCTTCCAGACAAACAAAAGACAGGCATATGAGCTGAACATTTCCATTAGGTAGATACAGTGCTTGGAGAAACCAATCACGGGAGAATAGAAAGGTTGTGTATGCACAAGGAGACAGCTTGGGGGGCAGGAGTGCATAGGAGGGAAGGACACAGGGAACAGGTAACTATCAGGAGGAAGTGGGAGGGGAGCTGTTGCATTGTGGGAAACTGCAGTCAATGTCATGAGACATTGTATGTGAGCTGCTATATGGAAAGTGAATTTGCTCTGTAGACTTTCACCCAAATCACAATAAAAATTAAAAAAAAAAAAAAAGAAAATGAGAGCCTGAAGGACAATGCCTCCAGGGTGGCCTGTTTGGGAAAAACTGTTCATTTTTCCCACATTGGAAGAACTGTGAGGTTTGGGAAATTGTGACTTTATTCTTCTAGCTTCTCTGAGCTGTTGTGGCCAAACTGTGCTCTCAGTTAACAGCTCATGACTCAGACCCTGCGACCCTTTTCCCTGCTCTCATCACTGGCAACCTCTAATCTCAAAGGCACTTTCCCCATTCATCAAAGACTTTGTTTTTATCTAATCCTACTCAGTACTTGGTATGTTCCTTCCATCTAAATTCTTTTCTTCAATTCTACAAAGGTATCATCCGTTATCTCTTTGGATATTATCTCTGCCCCAATTCCTGATTCTTGGCATCAGGCTCAGTTCCTTCTATTATAAAATAAGGTACCCATCTCATTGAGTTATTGTGATGATTTAATGAGATAATGGACACAAAATGCCTGGGCATAGTAAGCACTCAATAAATATAACTTGTATTACTATTGTTGCTATTCTTCTATGGTATCCTTATTACACAGATGTTGGACCTTCTTATTCCACCTTCTGTGTCATAAAAATATTCTTTCGAATTTTACCTAAGTATCTCTCAAGGCTCATATCCTAATTCCTCAAATTATCTTCTAAATTATATAATCTGTGTCTAATCGGCTATAAAATACAAATGTTGTATACTTTTATCTGAATTAGTATATTTTCCACTTATAGAAAAAAGTTGTTTAGTGCTCTCTCAAATCCACCTATCTCACATCTACCTTTTGTATGTCCTGTCTTATACTTTTATTATGGTTTATATACCTTTGTTTATTGTTTTAACCATTTTTAAACTCTGCTTGGTAGGGTGGAGGGTCGACAAAAGAGGGGGAGGCCTTCAATGAGATGGATTGACACGGTGGCTGTGATGATGGACTCAAGTATAGCAGGGATTGTGGGGCTGGCGCGGGATCGGGCAGTGTTTTGTTCTGCTGTGCATGGGGTGGCTATGATTCGGAAACGACTCAATGGCACTTAACAACAACAATAAACTCTGCTGTTTCATTCAGATTATTTTACTATTTCCTACTCTTGGGTTTTTAAAACTCCTATTTGTTACATGTGCGGACTCTTGCTCATAGTGCTTATTTTCTTGTGTGGTTAATGATTTGTGTATTGTGAACTTCTCTTCAGCAGGATTGATTACACTACAGACATGAATTTCTATGCCTTGTGTCTAGCATTGGGAGAATTTCTGTATAAGAAGTTTTACATTTACTCCTTCTAGGCCCTAGAGAGTCAGGGGTCCTGGATCCATTTTTATGTTAATTACTCACCTTGAAGTTTCTGCCTCATCCAGAGAGTAAATATTCAGACCCAAATCTGCCTTGTGGCACAGATCTGAGTGTCAGTCTTTCTCTGGTGATTTTTTGTTTTCGTTTTCACCGAAAGTCATAGAGAAAACAGCAAGCCTTCTCTCTGTTTCCCTGATGGTTTATTGCCTGGTTTCCATTCTCAGATGGGCAGCTCTTCTAGGTTCTAGGTTTTATTTGGAGTCTTGTTTCCTGTTTTCCCACTTTCTTCAACTTTTGCTCCATATATGCTGTTGTCGTGTAGATAGAACAGAAAGCCCCAGCCTCCAGGTCCCATGCTTTTGAACTTATGTAAACGTACAAAATTTCAAAGAGCAGCTTCAGCATCAACTCTCAAATACTACCTGGTTTTGATATTTCATTTCATTTTCATTATCTGGAAATTCCCCTTCTTTTTTTTTTTTTTTTTTAATTTGTTCTTGGCTTTGTGTTATTTTAAGTTGTTCTATGTTATAAAGTATTTCTATGTGTGTTTATTAAGAGGATCCCCCTCCTTCTACATTCATTCATTCAAAAAATATTTACTGAGTGCATACTATGAACCAGACACTGGTTTAAGAACTTGAACCAGAGCCGTGAACAAAATAGACAGAAAGTCCCTGCTATCCTAGAGCTTACATTCCACTGAAAGCTAGAGGTCCATTGAGAAATATGGTTCGATGTTCCCTCTCCAGGGAAAACTGTGCTATCAATTTAAATTCTGTATTTATGTGGACAAACCATCTTTGATCTCCTCAATTCCAATACCCTTAACATCAAAACTACTTTTGGATACATTTTAGAACTTACCATCACAGAAAACTTTTGTTCCTCTAAATTTATGCTATACCTAAACCAAACAAACAAACAAAAAAAGATGTTATACCTACAACCTCCTAATTCCCTTGTTCTCACTAGACCTTTTCTTTGATTTTCTGAGACCCT